GATCAACATTTTTCAACGAAGGACTTTTCAAAATGTGCAACCGATTGACATTTCAAAATTTCAAAAGCCCAAAAAGCTGCGTACATAAATATATATTTCTTTTTATAAAACATGATGGGGCCTCAATTCTCACGAATAACTTACCGATTTAACATTCATATACAAATTGACTTTCTATTCTTCTTTATGACAGATAATATATACAACACATTCAACATGCTTCGAGTTTTTATAATATTATATTTACGTATAACTAATTTCAATTCAAAAAGTAATTTAAATTTAAATTTACTTTACATTTTTTTTTAAATTTTTTTAATTTTATTTTTCTGTATGCTTTTTTATTGTTTGAGCAATTTAAATGAATCGCACAAAAATTAACGTAGTTATTTTGCATTGTAATTGGCGCAAACTTGTCTGATGCTCTTCTTATACCTCGCCTGCTCCTCTTGGACCTGAATTGAATTTCAATTAACGTTCAAATTGCTTACAAATTCCACCTGCCATTCCAATTTCAATAACGAAAAATAATAAATAAATAAACTGAACAAAAAAATAATACGAACTCAAAGCAAGCAAATGGGCATGAAATTAATTCGAAGGAAAAATTGCCAAATAACGATAGCAAGCGACTCCAAAATCAACCACAATGTTTTTTTTATATATATGTTGCTCTGTGAAACGAATTAAAGTAAAATTAAGTGGCTTGCTTTAGATTTATGCGTTGATAATGTGACTTTTGGCACTACGCTAAAACACAAGTCAGTCGATTTTATATTTGGAGCTAACAAGTTAAGTAAAGCAAATAAAGTTATGCAAATAATGTTGGGAGTTATTAATTACTTCATAATTATAAAAATGTGTATTTCAAAAAAATATTTAATGCAGAAAGGAAATGGTTTATTGTAAAAAGATTCTAACAAATTCTACAAACACTTAACTGGGTTATAAGGGTTTTTACTTTTTATTAACACATTTGCAAATATTTGTTGTACATTTATTAATTGATTTCCAAGAATTAAATACATAATGTTTAAAAAGTCGTTGATTATTGTAAATAATTTTGTATAAACTCACTAGTGGATTCTATATATATTTACATATATGAAAAAGTTTCTCATAGGATATAGTTCGAAAAAGAGTTTTCAATCCGCCCGGTTTAACCCGTGAGCTATAATTATTTAACAATCGTTTTAAAGCCACTATTATACGATTAGCTAATTAGAAATTACGGTTTTAAATGAGTCTGATGGAGTCAAGGGTAATAAACCAACCACTTTAAGTTTACGTCAGAACTGATTTCAATTTGCAAGTGCGCAATTTCCAGTAGAAATTGAGAAAATCACCATGCACAAGCCAAATTAAACTCACGCTTTATCTATAGAAAAACAATTTAGAAAAAACAAGTTTTAAGCACAGTTAAGAATTAAGTAATGAGATAAAATAAAATAAAATGACATGACTAAATTTACATATAATATTAAAATTGGTTTGATGTTGTTGTTTTTGCGAATTTTTTTTTCAGATTTTAAATATTAAGAAACCCCGTTCCGGTTATTAGGCGGCGTAAATAGACCTCCGTGACAACCGATTTGCCGCAGTTGTAATGGCATCAAATGCGATTTCGAGGCACACAAACCCAGTCTTATGCACACGCAACTTTTGCGGCGAATATGTGAGTAGGGTGGCATCTTCCGTGTTTGGCTAAATGCAATTTTAGGTATTCCGAAGTTGCCTCACTCGTTTGGCTAAGTAATTGTGCAGCCAGCGCATCGATCGAAACGCCACAACGCCAAATGTTGGCAGCTCGAAATAAAAAGGCAATAAATAAAGATATATTGAGGAGTAATTGCGAGGAATATGTACAAAAAAAAACAAAAGTTTGCTATAAAATAAATATGAAAATAAAATAAGGGCTATCTCTAAAACGAAGTAAACAAATTTTGAAATTAAAATCGAAATTATTTGAATTTTTTTAAATTTATTTTTTATAAAGAATAATCATTCGGATTGAATAAAAAAAAGGCCTAAACATTAAGTACTTATTTAGTAAGCTTGCACTTTTGGAACAAACGCGAAATTAACCACATTAAATCAACTCATTTAAATAGCATTCCGGTTCTAGAAAATAAAGAGCTAAAATCCCAAAGACTTTAAATTTAATCTAAACCACACTATCAACGGGGTTTTTAAATAATTTAAATGGCACCTTTATTTCTAGGAATCTTCGTTTTTTTTTTGTATCTAGGAAATTCCCGTAATTCTCTTGTCATGTCCGACATTCATAAATAATTTATTAGACTCGCTTCATTTGCGGCTTCTGCACATTCTCAAATTAATTATTACGAATTAACACAAAACTCAAGAAGCACGCGTCGGATAAAATTAAAAGAAAAACAGCACAGGAATAGCAGATAAATAAATGAACCTATCACCTAAGGCACTTTTTGCCATTTTGAGGTTTGGCTAGTTTGTTGTCCAGATCAAACGAATCGTGTAGATTGGGATAAAGAAACGTTTTCTGCTGACGCACATTTCACGAAAAATTATAGAAGCTCTCCACGTTCCCCCACCTCCCTTCTTGGCCGTACCATAATTATCAAAGATTTTGTTTGTTAATGAATTTATAATGGTTTTATTTTTATCTTATTGGCGAATCCAGACAGGTCTGGCTCTAAGCAAAAACTGGTCCGGCCAATCGTTTTGGTTTCTTTTGCTTTTGGCATGTGCCAAAACAATTTGCCACCTGCTGTCTGAACTTGAGCTCGTTTTCTTCTTAATTCGCATTTACTTTTACTACAAGAATTTGTTTTGGCCATTTGTGGCCAGCTGGGGGGGATAACTCTCACTGTGCCCAAAACGACGGCCTGACATGTCAGTTGGTGTGTCAAATGTCTATCTCAATAGCTACGTGCCGCGACCAGGTGAAAACCAAGTCCGAAATATCAGCCGAGCCATTTCCATGTCCGGCGACATAAAATTTAATGCAAAAACGCAAGTGGAAATTAAGCGGAGAACAAGATAAGCCGCCAAACTTTTACTCCAGCTTCAGATTCTTTTTGCGATGAGTAAACGTGAAGTGAATAAAAAGATTTTATATTCAAGGAAAGTGGAAAGTCTCGAAAATGTCGCAGAATGTAAAAGTTATGTTATTGTTAGTTCTATACACATAAAAAAAAATTATGATTTACAAATTGATTGACCAATATTTTTTATAAAACCAATGCCTGAGCAAAAAGGCTAATAAAATAAACAATTGGTTGACTATATTAGATCATATTCAAATATATTTTAATAAATACACCGGGAATCACAGCCACAACCGAACTGATTGATTTATTACACCACATTTTGTCATTCGGCATTTCATTGTTAAGGTTGTTTACCAATTCAAATTTGCATGTGAGTGTAAATATATATTCAACATTGTCAATTTATTGGCGTGCTTGGCAATTCAAGTGTTTTTTTTGTTTGCTCAAGTTCAAAGTTCGTTCCGGCTTACATAAAATAAACATGATTTCATTTAAACTTGATTTTATTTCAGGCTATTAGTGGTTTATTGGGACGATTTGCTTTATTAAGCCGATTAGTCAAACCAGCTTAGATGTTGAGGAACGGCAAAAGTCCGTTTTTAACCTAATTGAGATAGATCAGAGAGGGAAGTTGTGCAATTATTAATTGCGAATAAGTTCCTATTTTTAAGCGGATGGGTTTCAACAGATAAATTTGCCAACCCGAAAATGATCTAAACAAATTATATTCATTGCATGTGAGCAATTGTTCGTGGCTGCCGTTGTCGCAGATCGTTTCCGTTGACAAATTCACATTGTTATAGCCCGATCACGAAACAATGATCAAATGCAGCTTTAATGTTGTGTAATCCAAAGATTTATCGATGCCAGTCAGCCGAGCATGACGACCAAAAACTCAAATATATTTGATTTAATAACGCTTCAGATTTGCATCGCATCAACTCCGGAAAAAACTATCGATCAGCTAAAGTTGAGCAAAAACAAGGGCAGAGATACAAAAACAGGTAGAGATACAGATACAGATCGTTGATCTCTGGCGACCTCAATTTGCATGTGCGTGGATTGGCAATCGATACAGCAAAAATAAGTAAAGATGAAGCAAAAAAGCCGGCCTAAAAGGGCCAACTCTCAAATGGGTCTCGCGGTGCAATTAAGACGCACAGGCACACAAACACCGCCGATTTAACGCTGAAAGGCAGTTAAGATTCAAGAGCAGTAAAAACTAAAGCCGGCAGTCAGCAACGGTCAGTCTGCTGAGCAAATTAGCATTTAACAGCCACTCAACAGTTAGGCACCATATGCGAATGCGAGTAAGACTAGCGGCAATTAGAACTCAACTGTAGCTAAATCTTTCCAGCAGTTTAAGTATACTCCAGACCAAAGGTTTCTCAGTAGTAAACGACGGAAGCACGTTGTTAAAATAAATATTATATTTAAATAATAATTTATTTATTATATATAAATAAATATTTCTAAAGTCGAAATAAGCAAAACGAATAATTAATATATCCCCAAAGACAAATACAGTTTAACCCTTTATGTCTTTTCGATTGCTGATCCTCAATAGTGAATTTGCTTGTTTAATAATACGGAAAAGACTTTTGTTATGGGTAAACAACTATATGAATTGAGTATACCCCTTAACGCATTTGTAGGATACTTTACGACCACTAAATCGTACTACGTCAACAGTTATGTAAGAAATTTGTTTCTCCTCCTCTCACACTCTATGAGTAATTGACCCATATTTAGGTTCTCAATGCGAGCAGTGAGCCGTGCGAAAGTTTGCGTGCCTCCAGCGTTAATGGCACACGAGTTATGAATAGTGTGTTTTCGAACCACTTAACTGCAGTCGAGTGGGACGTGGACTAAACCAAGTCATGGGTGATCTCCACTTGTTTTAAGGCCTCTCCTCATAAACTTTTTCTGAGATAGCTTATTGCGTTTTATAAAAATGTTTATAGTTACCGAAAACATCCACAAATCTTGAAGAGCTTTTAAGGCGTGTTATGCGGTATGGCCTGCAAAAGATAAACAAAAGAAACTATTAAAATATTTGAAGAAAACACAATAGATATATCAATTTGGAAATACTAAGATCAAAATTGTTTTCACACGCCTCGTGAAATAAGATAATTTGACGGCAGCTTTCACATCGAGGGGGTTTGGTAATCCCCCCCGGAGTGTAATTATAGAGCGATTTATTGAAAATGAAAATAAACACTCGTCCAGACACAAATCGAAATCAAATCAAAACGCAAGGCGAAATCAAAACTTGCACAATGGGAGAAAGAGCAAAACAAAGGCCAATCAAGAGCAATCAAGAGCCAAGAGGCAACTTCAAGCTGCAGTTCTCCACTGGTATCGCAGATGCGTCACAGCGCAGATACGAGTATAGAAACAAAAACAGCAACAGATACAAGATACAAGATACAGTGGCAGAGGCAGAGTCAGAGGAAAAGGCGAAGGCAGAGATACTTTATGTAGGTTGTTTCGGTTTCCTCTTTCTCCAGCTGTTTTAGTCATGAATCAAGCAATTGTCGAGGCACATTTATTCTGTTTTAAGCGATATTCATGTTGGGTTATGGGGCGGGGTAATTGGCCCGGCAAACGGGTTAACGCTGACGTTAACCCAGAAGAGTAGTGTGAAAAAGCGCGCATATCTCCCGGTCACATATACAAATTGCGAGGGCCCCTCCCTGACTAATTGTTTGTTCTCCCGCCGATTTGGCGTATCTCCTCTGGTATTTTTACCTTCTTTTTTTTTTTTTTTTTTTTGGAAAGTTCTGGGCCTGACCTTGTTTTTTGTCTTTTGGCCAAGCGCCATTCGAAGACGTCGACAACTGTCATCAATGGGTAAATAACCCAGAAGAGAGTACGGCTAATAAAGCAAAAAAAAAAAAAAGAAACAAAAATAGAAAAATTCACTTAAGAAAAATAGAAAAATAGAAAAACAAACTAGCAATGCCCGGCCAAACAAAGCCGCAACATGATTCCGCACTTTGCCACTGTTTCAACAGTTGTGTAAACAAACAGACAAACAACTAAACCACGCCACACTCCAAAAACCCATTCCTATTCCTATTTCAATTTCAATTGCGATGTCGATGCCGATTCCCAGTTAACTTTCAGCAGCGAAACTAATGCATCGGAACCGGCGACGCTGTGGTCCATTTCCATTGGCCAAACCAAATTGATCTTTGCCACCAGAAATGTGTCACACTTCTTCGCGAGCAATTGGGTCAGATATAATGATGACACCCGGAATGGTAAATCAATTTGGAAACTCGACAGCCACAGACACGTTGTTCCCTGCGGTGATTCGACTGTTAGTTTGGAGAATGCACGCTGGGGTAATGTGTCTCTGGCATTGCGGCGGCTCAACAGGTTTAAAGGTTAATTCGAGCATTAAGCTTAAATTCTACAATCAATTAATTTAATAGTTCACCTAGAATTTAGACGATACCTCCATCAATCACTTTATGGTCAAGAATATTGAATGACTTTTGGTGTTTGCCCAACCATTCATGACAATAGAAAGGCAATGTAAAGCTTGATTAAAGTTCGACCTTTAAGTATTATACATTTACAAATTGTTAATATTGTAAACAAATAACTTTAACTTACAGTGTCACGACCTTCGGAAATCGTCACACCTGATTTTCCGTCTACGTAAAATTAAAATAAATAATTTATATTATTTCTAGGTTTTCTGTGGCCTTGAAAAAAGTATTTAGTTTTAATAAACTAAACCGGCAAAAATCAAATCAATTTTAATAAAAGCTTAATAGTGGTTTTCTTGTTTTTGTAAACTGATTTAGGGCTATTAAATAAAACTGTTTACTAAATATTGGGCAATCTTAACCAGAACTTGTTTTAAATTTTTAGAAGATTTTTGAAGTTTTTATGGAACTAGACATTTCAGATATGTACATAAACTTCTTCCTCTTCACACCTTAAACACTAGACTAAAATGGATATTATTTTCAAAGTTTTTTTCAGCTCCACTAGGTGTTCCAGTTTCGCACTTTCATCACGACTTGACTCGTCTACTACATCGATTGCAATAAAGTATAAAATATCTGGCCCATAAACCAATTGCATAAACGATGAGCTCCATTTGGCGTAGGCTGTACCTGTATCCGTACCCATTTTGAGGCAGCAACCTTCATGATTCTGAATCTGTATCTGTATCTATGCATAACTAGAGACCCAGGCCCGCTTCCACCGGCAATGGGTTGGGATTTGAGTCTAGGTCTGGGCTGCGTCGTTGATAATTTATATGTGTCGTCCAGCCCCCACAATCAAGTAACCAGCATTGCCTTTGTTTTTACGGCCAGGGAGGAGTGAGTTTTATTTCCGTTTCACCATGCCCCCACATCGTTTTCCTTTTGGGCTTCAGCGGCATCTGAGAACAATCTTACATATGTAATTGCAATTGCCGAGCCACTCACGACAGTCGAACAACCAAACAACCAAACCACCGAACAACCAAACAACCAACAACGAGTTCGACAACGAGTTGGGTTCTGGGTTTCGGGGAGGGAACATTTCAACCTTTTAATTTGTGCGGCATTCTACGAGTATATTCCCCTACACATAAAAAATATAAGTTTCCACATGTTAAGTTGCAATATCCAAGATAAAGTGATATTTAAATAAAGTTTCTAACAACAATAATATATTATATAAAGTTGTTTTTTATTATTAGGTAAACTATTTGTTAAGTTATTGTTTAAACCCTACATTTAAGATCTTAAATTTTAAATTCAGATTTTTTTTTGCGTGTATGCCACAAAGTCAGTTTCTCCCCTTGGCTGCTTCATTTTAATGTTGTGTAAAGTTCTAAGACCCCGACAATTGCAGCGGAAGTGCGTTCATTATTTTTAATGATTTTATTTAGTGGCTTCGTTGCTCTACCTTTTGCATTTGAATGCCTTTGGACAGGACTTCGAGGCATTTACACGCCGAACTCTCAAAACATCTTATCCTGATCTTGAGTTAAGGAATGCCTGGCTTGTTATGCCCCAGCAGACCGAGACAAGTAATTAGTGGTGGGATAAAGACCCGGACAGTGAGCGAGGGGATCGAGGAGGCATAAACAAGTCAAGTTCTTTGATTCCCACTGTCCATAAAGATTAGGTATTTATGACCGCACCGACTTCCGTCCATCGAATTATGAGGGTGGGTCGGTAATATCTAAATGTATTTTTAAACACAAGAAAAATCTCGCTACCTGCCTCAGATTTTGGACAAAAGATCATTGACAGTCTTTTCCAGTTGTGTGACCTACGATCCCTCCATTGATTCTTAACTACTTTTATCTTTGCATCTGTCTCGTCTGGGTCTGAATAGCTTTAATTGCATCTTTCAACAATTAGTGATCCGGGCTAATTTTAGTAATTGAATGGAAAGCAACACAAAGTCAGAAGGGCAGACGGGAATCAGCCACAATTGACATTAACATGGAAACTGCCAGTCAACTTTGACCGCAAAATTAAACTACAAAATGAGAGCAATAATTAGGGCTTGGCATTTTATCAATTTTTATACATACAACGTTTTCAATAACTTAATTAAATCGTTTGCATATCTTATAATTCAGTCGACCTCATATTAATGCCGATATAAACTTGATTTAACTATGATTGTGATTGTGTATAATTTCAATATATACAGTGCATTTAAGTGATCATTGGTAACGTTGTTTGATTCTAAAATAACTTAAGTACCGCAGTTCAAAAGGTTTTTAAATAGGATATAGCTTTCTTGGCTATTTTTGTCAGAAAAACTTGTTTTTTTATCAGATAATATTATTAATCTATAGATAAAATAAATATTATGTGTCTAACTTTTATCTACTCTAGAAGCTATCTTTATAATTCTTCATTAAATACAAATTTAATAATAATATTCATCCTAAAAACTGATCTACCTTTAGCTGGAACACCTGTTACCCTTTGTGCGAGTGCAACTAAAGGTGAACGTTGGGTTCAATGTGAGGGGGCACCGAACGCCCCTGACTGACAAGTGATCAGCATGCAAACATAAAGGGGTTTTGAGGGGGTGGGGCGGTTACATCTGAGACAATTATGAACACAAACACACAACACGAGTGCAGCCACAAAAGGGTGAGCACAAAACGTTGCATGACACGCCAGCGGCAAACAATCGACATCAATTGTTGCATGTGATTTGCAAGTTTTCTATTTTGACGTTTTGTGAGGGGAGCGGTTTGCTACCGGGGGGAGTTCGATTTACATATTACTGAAATCGGTATAAAAGGCAAGAAAGCAAGAGGCAAAGCCTAAGCCTAAGCCGGACAAACGTCATTCAACATCATCGTGGCAGTCGTCGTCGTCGTCGTCGTCGTCGTCTTCATTTGAATCAATTAAACCAGTTTGGGTCTACGACTGTGGGTATATGTATTCAGGGATGGGTGTGTTTGTCAGTCGTACCCGTACTCATTAGGTATTCATCTGCCTCCACTGATGCTGCACTTGATTGATCATTCGCCGGGCCAGGCCGCGCCTAAAGTTGGGAAAAAATTCCATGAATTCGATTATAAGAAATCAAATTCTCATAGACATTATTGGTTGGACAACCCCCCTTTTTCGAGAGCATTAAAAACCAACATCAAAGGTGCGAAAGACCGCGAGGGAAAACCAGTCTTAAACACATGCATCTCTCGACTTTTCAGTTTTCGTTTTTCATCCGATCAAAGAATGCAAGTTTTTTGTTTCCAAATCCAAATCCCTCCAGCCATCGTGTTAATTTTGGTAGCCGAAAACTGGTTTCCAAGATTATAGAACTCCTCCGCCGTCTAGGCACCAGAAACAACTGGAATTTATAATGTTTTAACGCTTAGTTGGGAAACAAACAGTCGAGGGGAAAAAGAAACGCTAAGTTTAAGCTGGATTTTGGAATTTTTATGGAATGTTTCCATTGTCTATGTTCTAAGACACCTCATCTGTTGTTTGTTCATCTTCTTTTCCAACAAAGAGTCGGACTTCATCGATTC